GATCTGATGTCTTTACCAGCTTTAATCACACTACTGGAAATAAAGGTGGACCGTGGAGGTTGTCGAGATATAACAGGATTTGACACTGTTGCATCTGTGACTCACACCTTTACAAAAATGCTCTATTACTTCCAAAAGACAAGTTATCCCCCCGCAAAAATAACCTTCCATATTTCTTATTAGATATTGAACGTGTAGATCCAGCTGCAGAAACCGGGGGAACTAGAGAAGACTATGACGTGGCAAAAATATATCCCACTAGAAGTGAACCAGGGACATTGCAGTTATTTGCTAATCATAAGTCAGCACACATCTTAATTTTTCAATCCTTGGTCTCAGCATTTAATAGCTATTGGTATTATGTATGAGCATGCTCTTGATCTTTCTACCGCTTTATAAAATGAATAGTTACATATTCCGTTCAATCCAGTTTTAACTAGAGTATGTGCCACCCGTTGACAACAAAAGCCATCTCAAGGTGCTTTGTATTGTAAGCTAAAGACTTTACAAAGAGAAAGCCAACGAGCCGATGATCCTTTATGAGCAAGCGATTCGCAACAGTGTCCTCACTTTGTAAGACGAGGAGACCTCTTTGTGTTACAAACTGTAACATCCAATCTGTAACACCCAAATGCACACCTTTGTCTCATTTAGTGGCCTCATTCAAATGTGGATCCACAAATACAGAGAAATTAAAGCCATATCCTCTCTTAGCTACTTGTCTGCAACGTGCTTCCACTCTCCCTCTGGATGTGAGAGCACCACTCATGGGTTCTCTTGCAGGATGAAGGAGGACACAGCGCCTGCCTGGCCAGATATCAGAAAACACTGCTTAACTTGTCCATCGGCAGGTTCAGTCATAAAGAGTGCACTAAAAAGGCCAGTTGTTATCACAAGCACAACTTTAGAGTTATTAACACTTTTATTGCACTTACAGTAACATAACTAGTTAAAATCAAGTCGGGCAACCCGCCTCTCAATTTCTCTGTTCTGTGTGTGTCCGTTTCACCACAATACACAGGCCATGACGCAGAAATGTTGAAACAGAGAGCAGAGGATAGAAAAAAAAAGGAAGGAGCACACATAAATAGCACAAGCTCCTGATATGACTGCGTAATCAAGCAGCTAAAAATGCGCCAATGTCGGATAAACCTTGTTCCCGATTTTCAGTTCTAACAAGCCGCATCCACGGGATTGGTTCCTTAGTCTTGTTGTGTTTGAAACTGCACTGACATCCTTCAGCTCCCAGGCAAAAAACGCTCAGCCGTGTAGCTGACTGCTTGTCTTCGAGCACACAAAAGAAACACCATATGGACATGCATATAAACCACAGCTCTCCGTCACAAAAAGGAATTTGTTTAAGTTACTCTTTAACCTGAAAAACAAATGAGATTTTTGTGCTCCGTTCACCATATGTTTCCAAAATTAGTCATAGCTGCTCGTATCAGGCAGGCTCGCTCGCCTTTGTTTACATGCCACAGACGGAGAGTCAGTGACGGTTCCACTTTCATTAAAGGTCACTGTTCTATCACAGGATCACAAAAGGGCAGTGATCCACTTCTTCTGCAGCTGTGAAAGTGTTGTATAAAACTGATCAGGAAGAAAGTGGAACACTGAAAGAATGTTCCCCGGTCTTGGTGAGATACAGAAATATATAAACCTATTTATAAGTCTGTGAATTGTTTATGTGTTTAGAAGGGCAAAAGAGGATTTATGGGAATGGCCATTAAAGTGAATGTAAATGAATATGCTCTCAGCTAAAAGGTTAGAGAGGATATGTGATCACAGGCATCATTAAATCCACTGCATTTTGGTGCAATACACACTAATTCCATTTAAAATCCTGGCAACGACTGATGAGCTCAGCTGTCAGCAGAAAATCTTAATATGACCCTGCAAGCAACAGGTCCCAACTTTAATGCGCTGGCTATTAATGGAGCGTAGGGTGTGGTGCGGCAGGAAGCCAGTAATAATCAATTTCCTGCTGCTGTAATCATAGTTCTCTGTAAATTAATTAGCATCTGTTGAGTGTTATGGAAAAATGTCTGCGGAGAGGGAGAGGTGGTTAAAAGCAGCGCGCCGAGAGGATGACATGGACTGTGGGGCTCTGGTGTCAGGGATATTAGATTAAGGCCAACATGAGTCATCGCATGATGGAACTAATGGTGCATCTGATTGTGATATTGTGAGCTCCAATCACACCCCTCCCATCCCTTTCATCGTTCTTATCACCCTTAGCTAGATACTGTCCAATGGCTCAGAGACAGGGGCTCTAAAGTATAAAATCTTATCTACAAAGTGGATGAACACTGGAGTCTCCATTACAAGTGATCTTTTTTTTTTTTTTTTAAACCCAGGTGGAGGAGGAAAAGGAGGAGGAAAATTCAACCCAATACACGCTGGAGACACAAAGCAATTACTAATTTGTTGATGTCACAGTGGCTGACTGAAGAAGGCCTAATGCAGACAACCAATCACACAGTTAGGAGTAAAACAGTCTAAAAGGCATCAAAAAGTCAGACATGCAAAGTGATTATCGATTGGCTGGTTAAACAACCAAATTACATCGGCACTTACTTTTAATGGAGAGAGAAGGAAGCCAATACATTTTGTTCATTGGGCTTATTGAGGACAGGTTGCGCTCTGTTGTTGTTGAAGTCTGGCTTTTTACCCAGTGTCAAACGGGGGAGATGATGCTGCTTTGCATTAGGATATTTTTGACATTAATAACTTGGCTGTAAAGTGGCTAATGACTCTTTGTCCTGTTTTCTTCCATTCTCCTTGGGTTGGTAAAGTTTCATGACTGCATAGTGCATGGTTACGACGCTAACATTTTGACAAAGACTGTCCAAAGACAGGACAGTCAGACCGACACAGCGGTGCCGTAGTTCCTGCAACAGCAGGTTTGTCCAGCAGCACGTTTGGAAGTCACGACACAGGCGGACAGGCAGAAAACAGCAACTGCATTCCACTCAGGAGTAGCCGATGCAGGGCTGCGGTATTGTGCATTTTGCTTCACTGAAATGGGACTCCTACTGGAACAGAGACATTATTGTTAATAGTTACACCTGTGCTTTTCCTCTTATAATTTGTCATGATGTTCCTGTTATGTCAAAATGTCTGCCATGAAAAAGGTCTGTAGATGCTGTTGTGGCAGAGGAAATGATTCCACGTGTCATTATCGCATGTATTATTGGTCTTGGTCTTGATGGATTTGGGGATACAGACACACTTTGGGGGCTTGTAATTGGAAGGTTTGTGTCGTTGTGTCCTTAGGCAAGACATTTCACCTACCGCCTACTGGTGTTGGCCAGAAGGGCTGATGGCGCGATATGGCAGCCTCGCTTCTGTCAGTCTGCCCCAGGGCAGCTGTGGCTACAACTGTAGCTTGCCTCCACCAGTGTGTGAATGTGTGGATGACTGGGTGTGTAAAGTGCTTTGGGGTCCCTAGGGGGGACTAGTAAAAGCACTATACAAATACAGGCCATTTACCATTTACTTTACTCTTAAGATTAAGCTTAAAATTCTATGTGTTTATAGTTAAGGCTGGGTCAGGTGACCCTGTACTCTCCCTTAGTTATGCTGTAGTAGGCCTAGACTGCTGTGGGCTCACTCTTCATGTGTTTATACACCACTCTACGTTTAATCATTAATTATTATTAATCTCTGGCTCTCTTCCACAGCTGTTTTTGTCCTGTCTCTCTGTCTCATCTCCAACCAGTCACAGCAGATGGCTGCCCCTCGCTGAGCCTGGTTCTGCTGGAGGTTTCTTCCTGTTAAAGGTTTTTGCTTCCCACACTCGCCAAGTGCTTCATCACAGGAGGTCGTCTGATTGCTAGACTTGAATTGATTGTTGTTATGATTTGGCATATAAATATCGCATCAGTTGAATTTAGTTTTGTTTTTTATTTCCATTAACTAAAATGTTTTTTTCAGTATTTATGTCACTACTTTAATTTTGGTGTTTAGTTTTATTTTACAGTGTATTATTCAGCTTTTCTCAACGGGACCAGAGCATCCAGAGAGCACTCCTAGGTATGTGAAATTACAATGCAATTACATACATTAAAAACTATCAAATTTTTTTTTTTTGCACGAGATTTATTCAAATACTTCATTGTTCTCCACTCCTGCATTACTGCAAAAAATGTACAAAAGTAAATACATGACTAGGTTTCCCACTTTTTCCCACCTTGTTCAGAAACACAGATCGAGATCCCACACTCAACAAGAGTAAAAAGTTTGACACAACTTGTTCAATTAAGTATGAAGCCACTGCTAGCAGCCAGCTAGTGTAGGTTAACATAGAGACTGGAAAGAATAACTGCTAGCCTGGCTCCGTACAAAGAAAACTAAACCCTGCCTGCAGGCATCTCTGAGGTTCATTATTAACAGTAGTATAGAAATATCACAATCATATTTTACAAGAGATCATTCCTTGTACATCCTGGAGACTCTGCTAGTGGTGTTAGGGTTAGGGTGTAAGCCAAGCTAACCAGCCGCTAGTGATCTTATGTAGCACACAAGTGTGCCAGGTGACTCGATCCTTAACTCTTGATGAAAAACACTTCCCTAAAAATATCTTAAAATTAAAAAAAAAAAACCCTAAATGCTCAGAGAATATTTCTACTTTAATAGTTTAATTGAACTACAGCTGTTCGATTTATGGTGGTAAAGGTGGAGTTGCATACAACAGGCTTCATATAGGGAAATATTAAAAGGTTTTGACATGCCGACTGCAATATAGTTGTTATAGGTGAAATACAAATAGTTTTTCTTCAAACATAGGGGAAAAATCCATTGTGTTACAGAAATATTGAAATTACTTTGAACTTTTTTTTCATCAATTACACTTTTTAATTAGATTGTTTCTATGTTTATAGCACACCAGCCGATTCAGTTGCTTGCCAAAGTGACTTCTTCTCCCGCTGTACTGAATCACTCCAGCTACGTTCTCTAATATTTATTCTCCATTGGGCTAGAGAAGTCACTGAACTCACCATCTACGCAGGCCGGCCTCGCCCTGGTGGTGCCGGCGATCTGGCCTCTCCTGCAGGCGCAGCGGGCTGTCTGCCTGGCGATGGTCCGCCTGGGAACACTGCTGTCTCTGTTGAGCATCACTATCTCGCAGGTTCCCACCGCCAACTGGCCTGCCAAACACAGCAGTGAGGATAAAGTACATCACATTAGCATAATGAGTCAGTAATGAACTTATTACAGAGGAGCAACTGGTGTTCAAAGGTGAAAACGACAGGCTGGCTGTTGTTTGCAAAGAGACATTTTTTTAACCTTTTTGGCTTTGTGTTCCACTAAAGAGTTTAATATTCTCATTAAAAATGTCAGGAAAGTTTTTAGTGCTTTAAAAGCAGGCGGCTAGAATGCTTTTTCAGTTTTAATACACCATGACAGAGTTCTCTTGATGAAAGTGCCTTACAGGGATCATGCAGGAAAAAAAATCAGTTAAAAGAGCATCTTCCATTTGGCTAGCCATAACTGCAAAGTAACAAACACACGAGTCAGAGGCTCCGAGATATGAGAGCACCATAAAACAACTTATTGATTTTTTTCACGTAATGGGCAAAATCTAAAGACTTCTTCTGACTGTGAGCATGAATGTTCTCTGCAAATTTCATAGCAGTCAACCCATTAAATAATGAAACATCAAGACTGTTCTCGCCGTGAAATTGACAACACTGGCCATTTGTAGATAACTTATCCTCGCGTGTACCTGAAAATATCCACTTTACAGGCAGTCGCAATAATTAAACAGAGAACTCACAGCCATGCCCGAACGTACAATGTGAGGTTAACACTCTCACACCCTGTTTGAAGCCACATTTATTAATTTTTTGCTCTTTTTTATTTGACTATCCAAATGAGTTGGACCACTGACAGAAATAAAATGTTACTTGGTTGACGGAGTAGAGGCTGCTGGGCACTGCTCCTACACCAGACAGACCAATTTTCAAGCCAAGCTAAGCTCTACTGAGACAGCAAATGGACAGAATGTCTTAAAGTGATGATTACCTTGCTCAGAAATCTGTGTGTGTGTGTGTGTGTGTGTGTGTGTGTGTGTGTGTGTGTGTGTGTGTGTGTGCTATTCTTATAGTTCTGTCCAAGCACAGAGAATTACTTCAGAGTTCTCCAGGCATTACAAATTGATGGATAACTCCCTGGCCAGGGACACGTGTATAAGCAGCTTTTCCAAGTTTGCCACAGTGTTATCTTTAAATTAATTACACAAACTGGAGAAATCTACGTTTTGCAAGCATGCTTTAGTTGCAGATGAACTACATGGGAGGGGCAAGGGGGTGTATGAAGGGGAGGTTCTCCATTCTTCAAAACATCTAAGAGAAAAGGCAGATTAGAGAAGAGTGTGTACTGCAGTTCCTGTAAGGTCAATCGTTGGCATTCACCAACCATAGCTCCTTTATGCTGCTGCTTCTAGTCGCTTCCCGCCACACTCAAATGCTCATTAAGTGAGACGCTAACTGCTATGTAGCATGAAATGAGCGCAATAATGGCAAAGGTTGAAAGGGTTGTTGATGAACACAAATGACTCATAAAATTACCTGAGCAGTGCTGAGACATCCAAGTATCAGAGCAAGATGTCTGTGAAGATTTAAGGTGACCCTGCGGCATTTCTTTTAGCATAATTCACCAAGTTGAGATACTTCCTGTCCATTGCAACGATAGTTAGGTAGGCGATAGATAGACTCACGGGCAAAAATTAACTTGCCGGGTTGACTGCTTTTCCTTCAGAGCTTTCTGGCATTAAACCTTCTTTCATTTTATATTTTCTAGTTGCAGTTTGTTTGTGTTTAAGCAACAAAATACTTGGTTAGGTCCACATACTTGGTCCACAGAGGAGGGACTCCTCAGTTGTAGGTAATGTTTTCTCTACCGCCGTGCAGGTCAAACTTTATATTTCTACACCAGAGTTGGCTAATCATATTATCCGACTTGTTCTGCCCTACTCGTTTGCTGGAAGTACTTTTCACTTCCAGCAGTGCTACTTGACATCAAAAACAGGCTTACGGGGTATCTCAGCCTCTCAGTTAATAGATCAATGAATGGGCTGCAGTTTCCACTGACAGCCACACTTTGCCATTTAAGCTGATAAGACTGGTTTACTTTTTCCATAAAATTACCTCCAGAAGTGTTAAGAGCCATAAAACAAAACCAGTTCTACAGAGATCTGCTATGTAAATCTAATTTCATAACATCAGCCTTGCTGGCCACCCTCCACCGCGCACCACCATCACTCAGCCCACCCGCCTCTCTCGTTTTTCTGCTGAGGCGAGATCCTGTATACTTGGTTGTTGCTTGGAGGACAGAGGTGCCGTCAGATATCAGTGCTCAACACTGAACAGATGAATGGGCTTCATGTAATAAGCCTGAAGGAAGACAACAGTAAGGCGCTGGGGGAGTTGAAGTGGTGAGTTGTGTAGTGTGTGGGTGGGGGTAGCTGCTTTGTAAAGCGCCCTTAGCCATGGCCAGCACTCCATCATACGTACAGGAGTTAATTCATGTGACAGAGGGTTTCTGTCACTCAGTGGTGTGAGGACACTTTGCCTCGTCTCTGTTTCACATGATGAAATGCACATATGGCCGTGGTAGCGAGGAGAGCGCCGACTGAAGGATGGGAATGGTCGCTGAACAGGCCCTGGATCCTGTCAGAAATGACAACAAGAAGTAGTAGACACTGGCTTTAAGCAGCGACTGGCAGCTTGATCACCTTATCAGTGAATCATAACACTATGCTAGTGCTAACTGGCAGCACAGACACACACAGGGGACCAAACGCACACAGCTTAGAGCAAAGATGTGAGTCTGTGCTCTACATATCAGCTCTTTGATCAGACACACTGCAGATCACCAAAGTACAGGCGCACAAATATCTTAATAACTCTGCCTGAAACAGGCTGCCAGGAGTCCACACTTGCTTTCACATTGTTAGTCTGATTCAGTGTGCATCACTGCTGGACTAAGAGCCGTTGGGCTCTAGATACACCACACTGGCACGACCTCAGCGACGGACCGTGAATATACAAAGCCGCCAATTATCATCATCCCTGTTAACATCGCAGCTGATTGCAGCAGTTTGCTGTTTCTTAGTTAGACAGTTGTACTAACCAATAAAAACTTTCAGTCCTTTCTAGCTTATCTTTTTTTTCCTTGTTTGTGTCTTTAATTAAGACTGTGCAGATACATCAGAAGTCAGTCTTAACTGATTTTAAAAAAAAGAAAAAAAGCTTTATCAGATTTAACGGGCATCCGCAGGAGACAGCGCCGCGCTGCTCCTGTACAAGTGAAACCACATTGGGAGCTTGTGAGAAAAGCTCTGTTTCTCCTCAGGGAATTTGCCATAAAATTATATGAGAGACTGCACTGAATGAACTATGACTAGGATTCCATTTCCATATTAAAACAATCTTCCTTTATAGATTGTAATTACTGGAGCTTTGAAACACATGGAAGCGAGGTTTCACAATGTTTTATTGCACAACGCGACTTTCCAAGATACAGTTTTGCACTATATTTATAAAAAATTCCACATCTTGTAGAGTGGTGCAGTTAATTATTCATAACAATACGTATTGTGTTTGGAATTATTCCCTATAGGGACCAAAGCTATAGCACAAAGCTCCTCTGTGCTGGTTTGGCCTAAACATCCGGAACTGACTCCGACCACTTTTCTAATCTGACTCTAATCACCGCACTCAGATACAATAATAAGTGTGAGTGATTATCTTCATTCCATTGTGCGCTCCTTTTGTGACAGAAGTGGCATTCTCAAGAATGAAAATGGGGCTGGCAACAAAACGATAGTTTAGAGAGCATGACAATCATATTAGCATGTATAGAATCTGATATGAATCCAGCAGATATTCTGTGGGAGACTGGAAACATTGCAGGAAAAATTATAAATGTTAATGATGCAGGTAATCTGTCATAACTGATTAGTAGTGGCTGCCTTTATCAATTTTTAAAATGTAATTAAAAGTGGCTAAAACCCCCATTCAGCATCAGCCAGCTATCTCACACAGCACATTTATGCTTTCCTTGTAGTTGTCTTGTGTTTAGGGACACACTAATGATTGTTTTGATTATGGATTAAATCAACTTTTTAAATGGACTGCTTTTATAAAGTGCTTTCCACTTTTTTTTTTTTCTGAGGACAAAGCTCTCTGCAAATCCTCTCATTAAGCCACACACAAACACACACACAAATAAATACACATTAGTGGTGGTGTCAAGGTGAAATCTTTGGGATCTGCATCTTGCTCAGTGATGCTTACCCAGCATTTGGGAAGAAGGAAACAGGAAACAAGGAAGGAAACAATTAATGACTGTCCTTTCCAAAGCCCCCCAAAATAGCAAAAACTGCAGTGACAAGGACACAAAGAGGGTCTCTCGGAGACAGAACACCACCCTCAAAAAAAGTGTATTTAATATTAAGAGGCACAAAACATATCATGTTCACACATTTTCTCTTATTTAGAACCTCTCTGGTGTGATCAAGGTTCACAGGAGCCATCAGTGGTGCTGAAAAAAAAACACAACTGCACAATCCGGTCGTTAAGTCTGACGTCACTAGCCGTGTCTGGGCCTAAACTCCGCTGCGGGTCCATATATCAAACGATCACTATGGCATTACTGAGAGTTGAAAAACTGTCTAAAGTCTTTCATCTTTAATAAAATGATCAGCGTTCTGCTCTACCAGGTGTAACAATTGAGTTTAACATCCAGGCATCCATGAAAACGGAATTTATGACATTTAACGGAGTTAGAAGTTAGCAGGGAGTTAGCTCGCTAGCTTCTATCTAAATACAATATAGCATGTCCTGACTGCGGGGTTTTGGAAACAAATGAAAACATACAGCTCTGCTATCACTTCCAACATAAATGAAGACAGAAAACTAAACAGCAGTGACGTTTGTAGGGTTACTGAAGTTTGGCTAGCTGGTATATAATGATGTGCTACGTGACCGCTAGCGACACAGCTATGTTAGCATAATATAAAAAAGCTAACTTTTTTCCACTCGATAAAAGTTAACGTGAGTGTTCTCGGTGGTCAGGAACAAATGTAATCGCATGGCAGGATGCTGTAAAACAGGGGTGTCAAACTCAAATACACAGTGGGCCA